TAATCCCCTCAAAAGCGAAGAAGCATGATGTTTCATTGGTGTGCTCATCCTATTCTGTTAGACTTTGTGAAATATTGAAAACAACAGTTCATGGATCACTCTTTGGGGCCTTCAGGGGCCCTAGATAGGGCATCAGTGGCTTGTACCATATTCCCCACTCCCCATGGAAGGGAAGAAGGCAGGAAGTGGTAATGTGAAAAGGCATAAATGGAAGGAAGTAGGAAAAAACACTCGTGACTCCATGCCTAGCTCAGTCAGGATTTGGTAAGGTGTTATTTCTTACATAGAGTCTCCTCAGAGAAAGAAACATGGCAGCCAACGACAGGCGTAGACAACGGAGACCCATCTCGTCTTTTCCGTGGATGTGAAGTGTTACTGGAGAGCATCCAGTTCCCCTGAGGTAGCAGTTGGGGTCAGGAGTGAAAGGCATCCTCCTCTCTTTTTGAACTCTAAATGAAAAATGCCAGAGCATCAGGATTTGGTCAGAGAAGATTTATTTTGGAGTTAAAAACCCTTTCTGCTGTTCCTTTTCTCCTACTGCCAGATTTAGCTCTCTCCTTAGAAGAATGCTTTAAGAAAATGGAACGTTCTGTGTGAAAAGAGAGAACCTGACAAGCTATGTGTGCTGATCTCTCACTTTCAGGGAAGTTGAGTTTCTAGACAGAGACAAATGGGTCTTAAAACACCTTCCCAGGATCCTTGCTCTCCTCTTGATAACCTCACCTTCTTCATCATAGCCAAGAGTGCCTCTGACTTCTCCACACCAAGCCCCCGAGGCTTTGCCCCAACCACCTTGAGAAGGTCAGCAAAATTGGAGTTGCCCTCTGGAGCTAGGGACGTGAAACTTGGAACTTAGACAGATCTCTTTTCATTAAGCAGTGCCCTGGCTTAACAAGCAGTTTTATAAATCTGAAGCTGTCTCTGGGTGTCGCAGGATTTATAGATGGGAGTTTCTGCCATAAAGTGGTTTATGATGGCTGCCTTCTGTATTATTAGTAGCTGTCTCTTCCTTCAACCATTGATGTTTGATAATAGCCTTAAAACACTCAGAATTACTTACCTGCAAGCCCCATTCCCGATAGCCCCTGTTGACAGTCTGAATAAGTTTACTGCCCTTTTGTTGTACTTTACCTTCAAAACAAACTGATTGAACCATCAATAGCTCGTGGAAGCTGACAGAGGCATGTCATCTGGATTAGCCCTTGTGATTGCGGGTTATCTGGGGGAGTTAACCTTCCCACATTGTTAACTGAAATGTTTTATGTACTATGCAACTTTTAGGATACGGCTGTGATAACCCCAGTAACTAAGTAATACATCACAGTAAAGAGATTTTGGTGCACCAAATAACCCTGGATTAAATTTACAAGGGTTGAACTGATATTGTAAAAGCCTTCATTCTGTGGCTTCGGGAATCCTTTCTTGTATTTTTATGGCAAACTGGTATTACGCTCAGGATTGAAGCTGTGGCTTTTGACGCCCTGACATGACCTGGAACAAAAGGAAATAGATCTCCCAAGACCAGGATGGGGCAGGCAGGCCAGAAGCCCACTGACTTATCACTTGGTGATAATGTTTGGAGCCGGTTCCAAACCACCAAGGGGCAGGAAGATCTGGTAGATGTGGCTGCTGTTTGTGTGCTGTACTCCCACAGACATTGGGGGCAGGGAAGACTGCTAGCAAAAGGGGTAAGGAGACTCTTCACCTCACCACCCTCATGAAGTCCCGTAAGGGTAATCTCCAAACTATTATTCCTCTGGGTGTTATTATGACTACAGCCAAAAACCAAAACCAAACCCGTTGCCATTGAGTCAATTCCGACTCATAGTGACACTATAGGATAGAATAGAACTGCCCCATAGGGTTCCCAAGGAGTGGCTGGTGGATTCAAACTGCTGACCTTTTGGTTAGCAGCTCACCTCTTAACCACTATGCCACCAGGGCTCCTATCACCATAACAGTGTTTCTCAAATTGTGGTCACAGGACCATCAGCATCAGCATCACCTGGGAACTTGTAAGAAGCAAATTCTCATGCCCTACCCCAGACCTACTGAATCAGAATCTCTAGGGGCTCAGTGAACTGTGTTTAGCAGGCCTCCAGGTAATGCTTATGCTAACTGAAGTCTGAGAACCACTGTGCTAGAATATAATCTCCTTGAGGGCAGGGACCTTGACTGTTTTGTTCACCACTTTATTCTCAGCACCTAGCCCAGTTCCTGGCTGGTGATAGCTGCTTAATAATTTTTTGTTGAATGGCTGAAGGAATGAATGGATGGATGAGTAAGTAAACAAAGGGAGGCATCTCCAAGGGAGGACCTTTGGACCCTGGGCTGAGTCTTGTAACTATTTAGGACAAGACTTCCCAGTGTCCCTCACACCTCTCCAAGCTGCCACCCACCTGGAAACCCCAGGCTTCACTGAGGATGGGAGTTAAGTCACCCCTAGTCCCAGGGGTGCCTGGCAGCCTATTTTTCATGGGCTCTTTCTTTGACCGTATAAGAAGAGTGCTCTGAAAACAGCAGCTCTTTGTCATCTAAAATTTTTAACTAACTTAAAAAGCCAGCACCTCTCTTTCTCTCTCTCTGCTTTGATTTCAGGGCTGTGATCCAAAGTGGGGTGAGATGACAATGCGCTGTCTGTTGTCATCCTGGTTCCTGCCAGCCCTGTGAAGGCATCTTTCATTCCATCATTAAACATTGGCTGATTTTCTAATACTGATGTTTTCTTCACCTGAATATTCATCTTTTCCCACCCTACACTTAGTGGGTGTCTTTACTCCTTTGAGCGTCACTCCTGACATACTGTTTCTGTCTGTACATGTCTTTATTTGAAAGAATCTGTTGTCATCAAGACTTTGCTGCTACAAGCAGAAGATGGAGTTTTCTCTAATATTGACTGAGGCCAGTGGGAATTCTGCTGGAGGATGGGAGAGACATTTGGATCCTTTGTGGAACTTTCATGATTTTGGATAAGGCTAAGGGAGCATTTGGAAAGAGAAGAGAGAGAGGCTCAGGAGGAAACAGGAAAGGAGGTAATAGTGGCTGGAAAGGAAGCAGGAAGAAGGTAGAGAGTCAAATTTGTAGGACTTGTGGGGTTAGGGTGGACATTTCTGGGGAAGAAAAATAGCTTTCAAATAATTTCAGAGTATTTTAAGTGAAAAAATGAGTAACATAAAGATTATTAATTGGAGGCTACTAAGCTGCTGTCTCCGGTTTTTGAGCAATCAGCCAAGTCTGTGACTCGGACAAGCACATGAAGGCCACTTGGTGATGTGAGGCTGCCTCGTAGGGTGGGAGTTGGCCCTGGGAACCCAAGGTTCCAGTGAGGAAGGAGGCACCTTGCATACCCCAAGTAAGATCTGCATTGAGAAAAAGCTAAGTCCTTGGGACTGCTTTAGGGTTTGTTTCTTTGAAGCCTTCTTGAGATTTCTTGTTCCTCCTTTTTCCTTTAGTTCTCAGCTGTTCAGTGAGTAATGTAGACCCCTTTCTCTGTGTTCCCATAACTACCTTTTACACATAAGCTCAATCTTGACACTTAGCCACACTAATATATAATTATCTCAGTGTGATGTATCTTCCCCATTACATTCTGGACCTCTTGAGAGTGGGAACCATGTCATAATCACCTCTGCACAAGGCCTGGCACATAGTAGGTGCTCACGAAATAATTGTGCAGTTGACATGAGCTGGCATTTCATTAAGTCCATTCTAATGCTAGTTTCCAAGATGCGGTGAGAGTGAGCAAAGAAATTTGCCCCTGCCTTCAAGAAGCTTACAGTTTAGGTAAGGATACCAGCTAAACACCCATAAAACCCATGAAATGTTACACTGTATGATGCTGATAATGTATTCTAGGAGTGCTGGAAAGGGAGAAAGCAATGTGAGTTGGTGATGCAGAAGAAAACTTAAGGGGAGTGGGGCTTGAAATATGAGTGAATAATGAGGAACCTGGGTGCAAGAAGGATTCCTTTGGAGGTAATACATTGCCTTGACATTGGGTACTCACTGCTTCTTCCTAAGCAGAACAGGATTGACACAATTGTTCATTTGATTGATAGAGTATAGGGGCGTGATAGGAAATATCTGGGTTGGTGACTATCACTGAGTAAGGAGAATTATAGGTCTAGACACCTGCCTATATGCAGGCCAAATGAATCTTATTGCCAACTTCACATACACCTACCTGAGGACAGTTCATCACAAGTAGCCATTGTGTTATCCTTGGAGTTCATAATGGATGGCATAGAGTGTTTCCAGAAGAATGGAGACCACATAGCATTTGATGAGCTGTTAATATCCTCTATAACCCGACTCCCCTTTTTTCTTATTGAGAAAGACAATCTTCATAGTGCCATCATGGAAATAACTCAGTGCTAGTAAGAAGAAAGTTTTTAAGACCCGTTTTCTACTCATCAAGGAAGCATTTGTCATCTACATGTGTTCCTTACTTCTATCCTGAGATCTTCCTGCTTGATATTAGAACCTATAGTTTATTGGCCTGGATGGCAAACCAAGGTCTCTTGTTTCAGCTTCAACTTTTAGATCTGTTTTATCTCAGAGGTGAAAGTGATTCAGATGACCCATAGAAATGGACATAACATAAATAGTGTCGTCAGGTTGTAGGTTATTTTACTGAGAACTTTCTGTGTAGCATAGAAGCTGGGCCTATTTTCTAGAATGGAAAAAGTAGAACCATCAATAGGGCTCTATTGGCTAATTCAGGAGTATATATATGTGTATGTTTCTTTGATTCAAGTGGCGCCATTAAGGTATGTTTATAAAGTTTAGTTCTATGTCTGTGTGAATTATAACCATTCAGATTTCCCCAAAGAGTGATTGTTCATACTATCAACTCTTCTTTGTGAAGGAGCAGAGAAGCAACAGCCAACGTCTACACTTCTGAAAAACTAATGATGTGGATTCCTAGAGATGTGGCAAATTGAATAAGCCTTTGAGGCTGTCACACCGACGTTACAAAGTTGTCTCTGACTGTCTTCCAGATGCTTCGTTCTGCACAAGCTACCCAACTTGAAGTTTCTGGATGCCCAAAAAGTAACCAGACAGGAACGAGAGGAGGCATTGGTCAGAGGGGCATTTATGAAGGTGGTGAAACCCAAGGTAGGTCCCTACTCCCTGGTCTTCACCAGCCTGGGGACTCAGGACACATGCTATGTCTCTTCATAGCATGGAGGATGTCCTCCTTTGTTTAGAATGCAGGCAGAATTGCACACCAGGCTTTGTCCATCATTACACTGTCAGCCAAACATAAGTGGGACTGCCTATGACCCAGTCTGAGAGGACTTGATGACTAAAAAAGTCTTTATTTATAAGGTGGGCTCACTCAGGTGACTATTTTACCAGTAAAGCAGCACGATTCACAGCCCATTGATGAAGTTCTGGCCTTGCTCTGGAGAATGCTATCTTTCCAAAATGAGGCTTCTGCAGTTCTGGAGCTGAGAAAGGAAGAAGAAGACAGCATGGAGCATTTACTATTTCTGGGTGGGTAGGATTCTACTAGTGCCTCATAGAGGGCTCTTCTTTCTTGTGACCAAAGAGGAGCTAGGGGAGAGCAATTTTGTGCTATCCACAGGCAAAGGCCCAACAGCTCTCCAAGATATCGTTAGCAGGGAAGGCAATTTCTTCTGACATTGTGTCCCCAGGTTGACATGTGCTCCCCACATGTAGCTCTCCAGATCTCATTGGGATGGTGTTTATTGACCTTTGCTTTACCAGCTGAGGCCACATCGAGGCTGTGTAATTTAACGTGGTGTCATCTTAATGACAGCACTGATGTGGCAGGGGAGATTTGGCTCTAGGTCTTGGATTCAGACACAAGGAGATTTTTAAGGACATGGACGACTATCTCTTTGGGAGGAGTTGGAGTCCTTCAGTGAATCCAAGCATGGGAGATGGACTTGGTGACCCCTTTGGAGCTCCATCTTGGCCCTGGGGTCCTATGGAGCTCTGTCCCACTCCTGTGGGGCTGCAGCTTGTGTGTTGAAAATGCTGACACAGAAACCTGAGAGGTCTAGTTTGTCCTCAATTATTGACTTACAGCATCTGCACATGCATTGGAAATGATGAAGGGGGAAAAAGGAAAAACAAAAGCAAAACAGAAAAGTGAAACCTCTTTCATCAAGCTGCTCAGCTGGCAGCATACCTCAGGCTACTTTCTTTCCTTGAATCCATGAGGTGCAACTTATTTCCCGTTATGCTGAATAAAATTGCTAGCAGTTGTGGAAATACATGATATGGAGGGTATAATACTGGCAGATAAATGTATTGTTACCTGTTTCAGCATGTGAGAAATTAATTGAGTGGTTCATTCTGTAGCTATTAAAGTGTTAACAGTTCTCTTTATCGAAGCATAGGTTTGATGTATTGCTCATGAGTGCCTTTGGTTGTTCCAGCTTTTGTAATTTTGTCCAAATGAAATAATTTATTTCTTGGCCTTTTTTTTTTTTTTGGTGAAAAAATTCCAGAGACAGCCAATGTCACCAAATTCAGCAAAGTACAACAAAATAAAGTCTTTATAATATCTTGGGTTCCTGCCTATCCTATACTTCTTACTTTATGGGTACACTTTACAGCTTAGATCAGTATTTCTTCTGCTCTCATTACCTTTGATGTGGTAAGTTCTATATTGTCGTTGGAAATCCAAAGGGGTAGTAAATGTAATACCCACCATATTGGGGTGGGGTACTCAATATGTGCCCACTGCTGTTCTAAGATTCTTTGCGTACAGAGTTGTGAATCCTCATAAAACTCTGTAAGTTGAAAAAAGGGATCATTGGCTCACTTTACAGAGGAGGCAACTCAGGCCCAGAGAAGTTAATTGGGGTGCCCTGTGTTGCAGGGCTAGTAATGGCTAGAGCTGGGGCTTCACCTGTGTGTCTATGCAGAGCCTACGTTCTTCTCAGTCTGCTTTGTTACCTCTGGAGCAGTGTCTTAGTTACCTAGTGCTGCTGAAACAGAAATATCACAAGTGAGTGACCTTAAAGAACAGAAATTTATTACCTCACAGTTCTGAAGGCTAAAAGTGCAAATCAGGATGTTGGCTATGTCAGTTACTTCTGTGAGCTTCTCTCCTAGTTTCTGGTATCTGCCAGAAACGCTTGGCGTTCCTTTGCTTATAGACAACCCTCTCATATTGTCTCTTTTTCCCTGTGTGTATTTCTCTGTGTCTCTTCTGGTCTTTTTATAACTCAGAAGTGATTAGGTTTAGAACCTACCCTACATTGGCATGGCCTCATTAACATTTCCAAACAAGGTCATATTTACAGGTACAAGAATTAGGATCAACACATGTTTTGGGGGGACACAATTCAATCCATAGAAAGCAGTGAGCTAAATGTCATCCCTATGGATCTCTTTGTTCAAACAAAGCCTTATAGGAAGGTCTAAATGAAGAAAATAGATAAAAATAGGACTGTTCTGTTGAGGTAGAGACTGAGGGGAAGTGACCTCTTCCCCTGTCTTTGAAAACAACTGGGAATGGCTCCTTAAAATCTAGTATTAGCTGTTTCTCTGTGTCATTAGCAACATCAGCAGAAATGCTCTTCAGAGTTTCAAATTAGTTTCTAATCAATTATAGAATTAGCTCATGCTTGTGTGATTGACTCCAACATCCTTTCTAACTGTATTAAGCTTAAAAATCCTCATTAATTATTTGAGGTGGGAAACAAAAATACTCTCACAAACCATAGGGGCCTTCAGTTTCCAAACTGAAGCGGACATCACAAAGGGTCTACACTCTCATTTTACAGATGGGGAAACTGGGAGAGGATATACTAAGGCCCCACAGTCCCATCAAGGCAGAACTGGGAGGAGGACAGAGGATAAGTCTTCAGGGAAGTGTTCTATTTATGCCATGGTGCTTCAAGTCCACAAGAGTGTTTCTCTAGGATCCTGGTTTCATATCAAATCACATGCCTCTCTTGAATGGCAGGCAATTCCCTTTTGTCTGTTGTCTTCAAAGATGGGTACTGGTAATTTTCTTGCAGATAGAAAGAGACCAAATGAGCTCTGTGCTGAATTAATACACTAGCCTTAAAAAGGCTGTTAAAAAAGGCTGGTTCTCACCTGTTCACAGTGTGTACAGACATATGTTTGTTCATATGCAGGTGTGTATATATACTTTCCATCTCTGTGTATGTAAATACATGTGTATGTTCTGGGAGGTATGTATATACCCAGACTCAGCTTCTAAGGAGAGAGCAATTTCCTCCCCTTGAATTGCCAGTGCTGGGCTGAGCACACTTGGGAAGATATATTTTTCATAACAGAATCGGAATCTCCAGTTGGCTTCTGTCCTCTCTGAGGCAGCCGAGGCCTGTTGTGCTTATTCAGCGGAATGTTCTGATGGATGATCAAGGGGGCCGTGATTTGGGGAGCTGTTTTCATTTTATTCCTGACATAAAGTATTTGGGAGAACAGAAAATGCCTCTCCAATCACAGCCCTTGCCTTGGAGGTAGGGAATGGCAGTCTGGATGTTCTCGGCTGATGCAAATGCAAAATCATGGTGGAGCTAATAAACCCTCTGTGTCACAGAGGTCCGATTGGGCACCGTCAGGCCCCAGTGCTTGTGTGCGAGTTCTCTCTCGCCTTCCCCCAAGATGACACGTTTCTCCTTCCTTGCTGCCTTTTGGCTTTTGTTGTTTAAAGCTGCCTTCTGTCTAAGCTCTGATTGTTCTCCAGAAAGATGCTGTCATTCATTAGGAAGTGATAGCTAATGTTACAATGGACTCTTCCAGACTCTGTGTGTGTGTGTGTGTGTGTGTGTGTGTGTGTGTGTGTTGTTAGTTAATGGACCTGCAACAGCCAGGCTTTGCTCATTTCCCGGAATATTAAAGAAAATATATATCTTTGTCAGACATCAGCCATTGAGTCCTGCCAATGTCAATACAGAGAGCACCAAGCTGGGTACAGAGAAGGTGGAGGTCCCCAAAGAAAAGCTCCCATATTGATCAGACCGTGACCCCCCCCCCCCAGGGGCACCAGGAAATGCAGATCAAAGCCGCATGGAGGCCTGTCCAGGAGGACATACATGCGGGCACGCCAGCCTTCACATCAGAGACAGCTCCCGAATCCGACAGTCAGAATTGCTTAATTATGTCCTAGCTTTGTAATTATTCATCCTTGTTCTGGCAAAAAGCACAGTTGTCATTTCTTTGACATAATTATTTAAGCTGAGCCTTCTTGTTTACAGGCATGTATACAAAGTTGGCTACAACTGTTTAATCTCCAGGACCTTACAGAAGCCATAGGAAGAGCAGCCATCGGGGACAGCTGGACAGAGAACCACAGCTTACATTAGAAAGTGTTTGGACGTGTGTGTTTTTGATTATTGTTGTCGACATGGTAATAGATAGGTTTGTAAGTGTCGATGTGTCCTTGAAAATATGTGGACATACTTTGGTTACCTATCATGGGTAGTTTGTGTATTTGTATAGTTTGTGTATTTGCATAGTTTGTGTATTTATGTGTGAGTATCTTTGTTGTTGTTGTTGTTTTCCCCAGCTATGGTGTGTATGGAAACCCTGGTGGTGTAGTGGTTAAGAGCTATGGCTGCTAACCAAAAGGTCGGCAGTTCAGATCCACCAGGTACTCCTTGGAAACTGTATGGGGCAGTTCTACTCTGTCCTACAGGGTTGCTAGGAGTCGAAATCAACTCAATGGCAATGGGTTTGGTTTTTTGTTGGTTTATGGGATGTATAATGGAGTCCCTGGGTAGTGCAAATGGTTAAGCGCTCAACTATTAGCTGAAAGGTTGGCAGTTCAAAACCACCCAGAGGTGCCTCAGAAGACAGGCCTGGCAATCTGCTTCCAAAAGGTCACAGCCTTGAAAACCTATGGAGCGATTCTTCTCTGCACACATGGGGTCGCCACGAGTCAGAATCGACAGCATGGGGTGTGTGTGTATGAGGTTACATACATTACATACATTACACAAGAGAGAAAGAGAGAAGACATAGAAACAGAGATGGGATGTTTTAAAGGAATAAATTGCTGAGTACGTGCACTTTCTAGGAATATTTTTTGTTCTCGTACCTTAACTGGAAGTTATTTGGATCTAAGGATAACCTGCCCATCCACTGGTGTCAGCTTCATCCACTGG